TTTTTCAATTTTGATGTCAAACTATTTATTGAATCAATTGAAAACGTTTATTAAAAATACATTACCACAGAGAATTTATTTTGGTAAAAAAAACTTCTTCGGCAAGTCAATGGTATTGAATATTAAAATTATCGAGTCAATGTTGGAAAAAACTAAACCAGTTTTAAAAACCATTTAGACATTTTTATTTTTCTAAAAATACTACTATAAAGTGCAAACAAGTGCACGCATCTGTTGCGTTCAGCATTGATTTTGAGAAATCAGTTTCATCATCACAATTATTTGCAGCATTTTTTAAAAAATGCTTGGAATATTTGTATGACTTAGTCTAACCAACATCTTTATATAAATAATAATTATATTAAGTCTAGAAAAAGTAGGTAAATTACTACAAATATTTATTAAAATTTGGACATATAACGTGGTAATCAAGTGCTTATTTATCAATTAGTTTCTAATGAAAAGCGATATCTTTGTTTTTGTAATATAAATGTAAATTTTTTTAGTTAAAAGCTACTAAGTCTCAATTGTCTTAAAGCAAAATACAAAAAGGTTGATTCGATAAATACATATCATACTGTGAAAAAATATCATACTCATTAGGGATCGTTCAAGTATTACGTAAGCAGATTCTTACAATTATTTACCCCCTCCCCATCCCCTTTGTCAGCAAAAGTAAGCAAAGCTCTTACCCCCTACCCCCATGCTTACGTAACATTTTGCAATTAATGTAAATAAATAAAAATACTACCTATGACGTAATCACCATCTACACTCCCATGCCCCCATGTCCCCCATGTCAACCCAAAATAAGTAAATCAACACCCCCCCCCCCCCTATAGTGCTTACGTAATACTTGAACGGCCCGTTATAATGATGAAGATTTTAAGTTAAATCTATGAGTGATAAATTTCAAAATAGTTTAAATCTGTTGAAATTAAACTACTTTTATAAGGTGAAGTTCTTGAACTTTCATAATATTGTTATGTCACTTTCAATTATTTTTGTTCATAATTATTTCCAAGTTTTCTTCACAATATATTTTATGCTCATTGTGATCTTTTTAGTCAATGCCCTTTTGCAGTTTGAAAACTGCTGATATAATGTGATAA